AGTATTTCTGGCGCACCTTTTACCGTAGCCATGTAATGTATGTCTGAAGCTCCAGGAATATTATATCCAACCACAACGCACATTCTTTTCAAAGCCGATGAAAAATGATATCTCTGTACAATCTTCAATGCGGAAGATTTGCCTTTTTTAGGAATTACAGAATCACCTAAACGAAACATTAACATGTAGCATATTAATATGTTTGTATTGTATTTTATTTGCAAATTTATACCTACCTTTCGTGAGATTCCAATTGATAGCTTTGAGAGTAGCTTTTTCTAGTGGATCCCCAACGATACCATCGTCTAATTGAACAAGGGAATGACACGTGGCAAGTACTTGAATGCTCTCCAAAGGTGCATCTGATATTTGGACCACGTCTGGCTTACCGCTTAAAAAATAAAAGATTAAAATCACTTTTTCTAATAGCGCGAAAGATTACTCGAAAATAATAAAACAGATAGTAGTCTCTTACTTCATCCCCGCGATACCCTCTACAATCAAATTATCACTGGTAAGTGTACCGGTCTTGTCAAAACAACAAATATCGACTTTGCCAGCAAATGGAATTCTGAACGGTTCCGTGCAGAATACACCTACAAAGAGGTATAACAATTTTCATAGAATTAAAGATGTATTACATGTATTTCTTATTGAAATTATTTTTGACCCAAGTTTCTTAAATCGCTATCAAACTTTTCGTATTACTTTCAAATGCAATATAGAAAAATTTATAATTTTTTCATAATATTTTATACATCCTTAAGCTTTCGGTAAAGTAAATCTATTTTAAATACCTAATTTGGATAGAGCTACCAGAGACGTGTTTACAGCCAGAGATAATTCTATAGGTAACTCTGGTGGTACAACAGACGTCAAAATTAATGTGCATTCCAAAAATAATTTATATTTATTCCTTGTAGGATCCTCGCTGCCTAAAAATCGAAATTTGTACATGTAAATATTTATCATGTAAATATTTATCACTCTGTGTGTGAACATTAAATTACCTTTGATCCAAACATATGCGGCGGCAGCAATTGCAAAAATAAGCAAGAATAGAATGAAGCCGAAAGTTTCTAAATTATTGGCTGTAACGCGTTTAACGCCGAATAATATCGTTCTTAAAAGTTTTCCCTGTGACGTGGAAAAGCCGGTACGTAATACATAAGCAATACATCCATTATCGGTCGCTGTAATTACGCATTAATATCATAAACAATAAGTAATTGAGAACATTATAAGTGAAAAATAAAATTTATTAATAATACCTCGAAGACCAGGAGTAGTTTTGCTAGGAGGTGCATGCTGTACAACTTTTGTACCACCGAAAAGCACGTGAAGTTTATCATCTCCTTCGATATCTATAATTCTATTTCCATCAATATCTTCTATAGGTTCTTTCATTTGAGGTACAGATTCACCTAGACATTTCTCTCTTTCAGTTGCTATGATCTATGTCTGTGATTTAAATATATTACTAGCTTGTTTAAAGTACCTGTTAACATGCTTTCGTCAACCACGCAGGGGCCTCGCAAAAGCAACATATCGCATGGCACTAAATTATCATGTTGAGGCCTTGTAATAGAGACAATATCTCCAGGAACTAGTTGGTCTGTAAATGATGAACGCCATCGTCTATTTCTATACACCTAAAAGAGAAAAAAATAAGAGTGAAATTGGTCTGAAATAAACAAATCGCAAGCAGACAATATTTGTATTCATACCATTATCATGTAAGGTTTATTGCCCATTTTACGAATCTCGGCCATATTTCTTAATTGTTGTTGCACCAGTGTACACTCAAACATGATAAGCATGATCAATGTAAAGATACTATAATACCAATATTTATCTAAGCACCATAGTGCCACACAGAATACTTGAAAGACGAAGAACGGAGCAATAGCGCGCTCTTTAAAGAGCTCCCAGAATTCTGGTACAACCATATCCAATCTAGAGTAAAAAAAAAATATTTTCAGCGAGGTAAAAGATGCCTTGCAAGGAATTGATGCAAGGAATTGTTCACACTATACTTGTTTTTCCCATATTTTTCTTCTGCTTTCTTAATTTCGTTTTGATCCAAATACCCTTTCCATTCAGAATAATGTTTCACGGAATGATTGATTGGGAACTGCAACCCTCTGAATGATCTTTTATCCGAGTCCCAGTAATATTTTGTCTTTTGAAAAATGAACCAAGGTTCCTGTTCATCCGTGTGATGTAATGAAATTAACTCCGAGCTGCCATTGTTTGGGGTGGGAACTACTTTAACTATTCTGGCTTTGTGTGGATCTTCCTCCTGAAATTTCATTTACGGAATAGAAGAAAGGAATATCGCAAAACAAAACGCTCAAGAAATTCCATGCTCAAGGCTTATCTTTCGCGATGTTCGAATGTACCGCCGAGGTGTCACGTGACCGACTCTAGCAGACGACCGGGCGTTCAAATGGCTACCAAGTTATGGAACATATTGGGGCCACGAAGAGCCACGTGCCCGTTATTTGAAGTAAATTGAAAGATAATTGCCACTTACGGAGCTGCAGTTTATGAATGTATGGATGTGCACCGACCATTGACAGCATAAGCACAGAAAAATCTGCAGCACACCAATCGCTGCGATGCCCACCAGACCCGCGTCATAGTACTCGTCAACGCCATAAACGAAGATCCAACAGTAGATCCACAAGGACTGCAGCATCACGAAAGGCAGGATATAACCATTGAACATCCATTTTCGTGGATTGTGCAGGCTGACAGATTGCACGAGATCATCTACTCGTGAGGAGGTCGCCGCCATGATTACGCCGACAATGATTAACAAGTCGTCACAACGGGCAAGAAACGTTTTAACGCCAACAAACTTTAAGCACCATTCACATCAGGAGATCCTCTTTAAACACACGATTCGTTCGGGTAATATAATGCGAGCTGGGTGATCGCGTTTCGCATATGCAGAGATTCCAAGAGAATGAACGAGCCGACTGTTGCCGACTGTGCCGCAGGGTTATGTTAAATGTTGGAATGGATGAGAGTGTGTCAGCAACTCTAATGCGGCAGATACAGTTTAACAGTCCTAACACGAGTATTTCTCAGTAGATAACACAGTCCTGACTAAATGCGAGTATGCACTTCAAGCGCCATCATGAGTATCACAAGCACAACTCCAATCTAAAAATGAACATGGCTGTAAAACCGCTATATTTGAATGTTAATTTTCCTAGATTAAGCCAAATGAAGGAATTCAATTTCAGCGCTTTATCTTTCTGAATTATAAAAAATGATTCATTTTTATGTCCTAGTCGAAATTTTTTCTGCAATAAATGCAAATGATTATTTAAATCTTTATATTATGTTGTGGCAGCATTTTTTATGTATCATATAAATAAAAAAAATAATTGACTGTTCAAAATATTATAGAGATGGAGTTCCAAAAACTCCAAATGATAATAAAACATAATTATGGAATTTCGGACTACTATATATATTTAAAGGAAATATTATAAGGGAGTATTTTAAATGTTTGAACGAAATATTTGCTTATAATATTTCCTTCTTAATATAACTTAATTTTTTAGATCAACTATTTTATTAAAACAGGAATATTCGAAATATTTAACTTTACTTTCACTCAATGTTTAAATATTTGGCATTGTTACCTTACAACGAATGATTTCGAATTTTCATTAAAAAGCAATCTATCTTCTTAAGAACTTATAGAAAGACACGCATCTGCATATTTCATGTAAAAGAAAAGAAATTTTAACGATTTCTGTCTATTAAACTTCTATACTGAACTTCAGTATAAGAAATAGCATTTCTCTTTCTCTTTCCTGACGCACTAGCTCCGTCACATAATCAAGATGTATCCGTGTCATCCGGAGAAAAAACTTTAGTTCACACTGTCATAAGGTCGATGAATCCCTCGCCGCACGTATTCAGTGAAAGTATGTGTCCGCCTACCCCACCCTGAGCACCGCAGAACTCGTGCACGTCGCCCGAGGAAGGGGCTAACGCACAGGTATACCCACGTATCCCACGTTGCTAGGTAGACTCGCAGCGCGTAGAATCGAATCGCGCCAGTATCTGGACCCAGTGTCGTGGACACTTTCGAATCACGCTGGCCAAAAGTGGAAAGACGCCCATTATGGTTAACCGTACTCTATCATAGTCGGTGCGACAACGAGCCACGCGCATTGCAACAACAGTAGCGTCTAGAGAAGACGGATGATCAATCCCGAATTGGATTAAGATTTGCCTTCTTTCGGCTTACAGTTCGCTAAGTCAACGCGGATCGAGATTTGGCTAACGAGCACAAGCTGTTGTTTATCTGAAAAATTCAAAGGTATAATATATCGAGCGCGAAACTCAATTCAATTTTGTCCTTAACGGGATTTTCTGTCTCTTACTTAGAGGAGATCATCCTCTGAGCAGCGATCCTGGGTCGAATTGGGTTATCGTTTATTGACGGTGACATTGGCACGGCGATTGATCAGCACGCGATGCCAATTAAGTGACTTCGCGGCCTCCTTCCTGCCGAGACACCTGCCGTGCTCACTTATAGGAGAGAAGGTTCTTCTTTCGGAGGGGTGAATCATAACGATAGATCGAAATGGCGTTCGCGTGGCATCTAATATCAATCGTAAGTGATCGGTCTAATATAATATTAAAAATAATCAATCGCCGATCATAGTAGAACATCCAAGAAGCTGTATTTAAATATGATGTAACGTTCTTTCTATTAATTACACGTTGTACATCTTTCTAATCGCGATTTCCGCATTGACTCATCTTGATTAATAGCTAACGCATTTTTATCTGCCGATCGAATTACGTGTAGGCTGAATCAGAGCCGATTAATATCATCGCAAAAAGCACGCATTTGTACCATAGGCATGGTACAGGAAGTATCTTGATAAGCGATCAATTACAAGTCGGTGCAATGTTTCACAATAATAACTGGTCCCATATTATACATTGCGCTTAGTCGACATTAGTGAAGATCTCGTGTTTCATCTACGTGTATTTGATCGTAAATGCAAAATGTGCGTAAACTATACTTTTACATGCGTATACAAAGGAAATGAATATTTTTGCATATATTGACTTAATAATCGAAAAAGAAATTTAAAAATAGGCATTTTTTAATTTTTCGAAATACGTCTTTTTCTGAATCATATTATTGTGATGTCTTGTTTGTACCAACAGTTTTTCTTAATGGTTACTTGGGGTGAACCTTGTACGGAGTACGGATGTCCAGGACGACCGCAATATGAATCCTTCGTACCCGCGCCTCCAGGACTCACCCCCCAATGCGCGCTACCGGGGCAGACCTTCTGCGAAACCCCAGATCACTATCCTCGGTAAGTGCTCTTAGAACTCCTCGTTCCCCTTTTCTCCTAAAAATATCGCTGTCCAGCCGGCGGCGAGTGGTAACGCAACAAGTGGAAATCTGCGACGATCCGGTCGACCCATTTTCAATTGTTAATATTCCTTTCGCCGCGTCCACTATGTCCATCTTCCGCCTTCTTCCATGCATACAAATGACCGACGCACACGTTGAGAAAAACTTCTGGAGGGGAAAGTCTACTAACTCTCCTCTCTTCCTTTGAAGTGAGAATCCGTTTCTCGAAAGCATCGAGTTTTGCCTTAATAGGCTTGCACAACCAATTTTTTATGTCAGATAGCTCTCGCTTAGCATAAAATGATGCATAAAATGATTTTTTGTCTCTCGTTTTTAATAAGCGCGATCTAACACAAGACTATCTTTGCCGCAATGGAATCATAGACACGAAATGTTCGAGCGTTCGTTAGTTACCCTCCGCTTGTGCTGTTCTCCTGCTATATATGCAAGTCGACTGTAAGTCGATTTCCTAAATTTTTGCGTGCACTTTCACACTTAAGTTCTATTCTGTTAGGATGAGTTACGTAAAGTGAGCGGCAACTATAATGTAAGAACGTCCGTGAGATCGTTGCTCAGCGTACCATGACCATGGCCTTGGCGCGGTCATACATTGTTGGATAATTATTGGGCCATTATAATAGTCCTAAATCGAGCCTCATTAAAAATGCCTCTTCATTCTTTCTTTCTCCTCCATTAGACAAATTCGTTCTTTCGAAACGACTTCAAATATTTGAATGGACTCGTATCTAGCATTCGCGAATCATACAAGATTGTGGACAAATTTGCAGGAAATAATTAATGAAACGGACAGTGTACAAAGAAAACCGCGGTATTTTAACGTACAAAACAAACTCTTTTTTTAAACAATTCGGACATTCGAAAATATTGCTAATATTGTATTCTGTCTCATGCAATTTCTCTTTCAGCGCCATATAGTGAAATAAGATAGGGTTTTTTTCAATAAATTGCAAAGATCCTACCGCAGCAAGATGAATAATTTTAACTGGAGAAACTTGGGACTACAGCTGTCACTTCCGATAATTATATATGCGCGTAAGAAAGACCTGAGCAACGGTCAATTAGACTGACAATATCAAATTGCTGACTCAAGTCGGCCTAGCTATCGCTCACGGCGCGACGTCGCGCGTGTCATTTCGCCGCAAACAAAACACACTGCATCTCGCCTCGCTAATGCTTGCTCAGACCTAACACAGTTGCGCAATGTCCAATTGAGAACGCACCTGCGTAAATAACCTTTTGTCAATCTGGAAGAGAGACGAATCTCGGTCGTCCAGTTGAGAGACAGAATGATCGGTATCTTTGATACGCGTTGCAGCAAGACCTCTGCTCGCGCGCGAGGCCAAAGGTCGAATGTAATATCCTCGAGAGAATGCATTACCCGTTTTTTATCAATGCATTGTATTCTCGGCAGAGGTAACGGTTTCTTTCTTTTTCCTTTATATTTTTCTTTTTCTTTTTTTTTTTTTTTAGACAACTCATCAAGTTTCTCGTCGACAAATGCAGCTTCGACTTTAACACCGCGCTGCAAGATGAATCCCGAGACGATTTTAACTCTTACAGGTATATTTTCAGTACAACTGGAATATTGTGATATATATGTAAAAAGAAAATATGTACACACAAGAGACTCAGATAAGTACGAATAACTTACTCATTTTTATCATTAGAGACCTTGATATATTATATAATTGAGACGTATCACAACAAAACATTTTAAGTGCCAAAATTGTGAAAATTTATTTTATTACATGAACTGTAAATATTATGTTCTATTACATATTTGGCGCGGAAAGTGCTATAAACGGAGAGTTCGTACATAATGTTGTATGTCCATTGTGCAATTGACATTTTTACTTGGACTTACAACGTTTTGACTGACATTTTTATTTGGAAAGCAACGTTTTGATTTGCATTTTTACTTACATTTAACTTTGACTTAAATTTTTAACAATTTTAACTTTGATTTAAATTTTTAACAATTTTAACACGATTTTTTTTTTAATTAGAATTAAAAATTAAAATCTTTTGCAGAGACTGATTGTTCATATCTTTAGATATTATGATAATTTTTGAAGTAGTTTTCAAGAAAATAAATTTTTTTTTACTTGGAAAATTAAAAAAATGGCATAATGTTTTGCTTAGATACGTCTCAATTAATCATTTATTTGAATGTTATTGATATCTTTGCATATGTCCTTTTTATTATCTTTTTAAGTTCTCCACCGGGTTATAATCAAGGCTATGATTATCCACGACAAGACGATAGTCAATTATACTCGCAGTTTCCTCTTGGAGGAGAGCCAGCTCCAGTGTACGGACCTCCATCCAATACTAGTCGTTATCATGGGTAAAGCTATTACGTGTTCATATATCAAATTATTTATATTATCTGTACGAGAGATGAGACTGTATGAGATGAAATTAGATGAAAAGACAAATAATGATACAAGCAAATTAAAATGATATTAATATACGAAGTTAGAATTTCGATTTGTCGAATTGCAGTTACAAATATTCTGCACCGCCATACTCGCAAAGAAATCCTTTCCTTCCGGAAGTAACGCTGAAATATCATCACGACATCCAACGACAAATCGAGCGCGCTCATTCGCAAGAATCCATAAACGTATTTGAGTCAAATCAATCGTGGCTGACGAATAGGTACGAAATAACGCACGGAGAAGTTAAAAATGATGATTTCTCTTTGCATACGCCTAATATACATACAGTGAGTGCAAAAAATATTCGTACAGATACCTTTTTCAAAAATCTTATTTTTAAAAAGTAAACA